AAATGCTGGTAGACGAACAAAAGGAGCTAATGAGATATCTATTGTTTACTTCCACCAGCATGGTGGCATGAGGTAACGTGCGAACCACCTACTTCGATCTCAAATTTACCGCCACAATTAAAGACAGTTTCCATTGGAGAAAGGAAATACAAATCTCAAAAATTCTTGTATTGTGATGAAGACATAAAACAATTTTGAAGAATGCGCCCGCTGTTCACTGCTTTGGAGTAGCTTTAGCTCAAGCTGACTTGACTCCAAGAGTTCTACATCACACGACGGTTGATTGACAAATGGACCAGAGGGACATAAGGCTCCTTTTATAGCGCGCCTTCGTGTTTAAGGTGAGGCGTTGTTTTCTTACGCACCATCCTCAAATTGTGAGGTGTTAGCAAATTATGATCAATCAGTTTTCACAAACCAAACTTGACATTCGACTCAATTTCGCCTTTTTCCTCCTTTGCTGTCATAGTCTGGGTAATGAAATTCAAGTTTAAACGTACGGGGTGTCGCACCCCCTTCGTCAGTCTTGTGTCTGTGCTATTCTTAGGGACCAGTCACGCATGATCATTGATTGTTAGGGACGAGCCTGATCTTTTGAGGCGACAGAGGATTTTAGGGAAGATCACGTGGTTTTTAGGGGAAACGGGGAGAGGGTGAGACCAGTCGTTGCTAACAGAATATAATGAGGGGACCACGAGGGTGGGGAGTTCATAATTTTGTACATGCAAAGTATTCCCTGAACCTTTTCTTGTCAATTGCTGTATAATTTTACTTATCATAACATCAAATCTAACCCAACTATTTTATTTTGAGTGTTAACTGACTGCTATCATAACTTAAATGAATGATCAAACCCAACCCCCTCCCATTACAGGAAGTGAAAATGAGTTATTTTATTTTTCACCAAAGTAGTTGCTTCTGGATCCAATGAATGTGAACTGCACGAGATGCAGTACCTTCAAAGTTACTTTATGCCTGATCAATAACAACTTTGTACTTAAGGGTTACCTGAAAAAAAAAAAACAACAACAACCAAAAACTGCCTTATTTTCCTCTTAAAAGAGGAGAGTTAAAAGGGGAATTTGTTGTTTGGTGCATTTTCAATTCCTTATCTAATAACCAATATCCCTCAGACTAACATGGCTTTGATATTACACCCAAGGCATCAGGGAAAATACTTTGTTAATGAATTCATGTCTAAGCAGATGATAAAGAATCGGAGGGAAAGGACTAAGACCAGACTACAAAGAGAAGCAGACATAATGCCTAATAATTAATGCTACGCTCAAAAAAATTACTGACTTCACCAATATGGAGTTCACCCCTAACACTTTTTTTGGAAGGTTGATTAACACAACTAAACAATCAACAGGTTTGTCTACTAGAGGTTTTACAAGATTTTTTAGCAACATGTCAGTCCTTAATAATGCCAGTTGTTTCATGTAGATCACTGATGCAATCTTTTCTATTATTTTTGGTACCTTGTCTGCTTTTGAAAGACATTAAACTAAGCTAAAATTTCCAATTGTAGCCCCTGGAAAGTTGCTCTGTAAAATGCACAAAACTTGACATTATCATTTTAAATATTTCATCATCATGTGGTCATTTCACCTAAAGTCTGATTACACAAAGCAGTATTATCTTAAATAAGATCATGTCCTGGCATGGGAAATTGGACTGCAAACTCTTCAACTTCCTTTTTCAATGCTTCAACTTTGCCCTTGAACTGGTCTCCTAATAAAACCTCTTCAAATTTCTTCTGTTCTGGCCCACTGATCTTCTGCACTTCCAATCCCAGTTTGATTCCACGGTCGATGAAGTCTGCAACTTGTTCAAAATCCTTTTCCTTCATGGTGCGTGTTGTAAGAGCAGGAGCTCCAATGCGCAATCCACCTGGACGGAGAGCACTTTTGTCACCAGGGCAGGTGTTTTTGTTTACTGTGAGAAGCAACACACAGTGCATGGATATTAATAGCAAAATAATTTTTACTCTCCCCTGAGAATGATCAGCATCTTATTTCTCCTTACAATATCACCCTAGAATCCCACATCGTGGTCATGAGAATAAAGGCTATCATCAAATAAAGAAGCTCCTGATTGTTAAACAAATTCTCTCTTCCAGCTTAAGAAATGCACTGAGACCTGTATGAAGATGCATACTGACTTTATGGTGTAAAGTGCTAAAACACAATATCTTCACTTTACAGAGTGAGCATACTATTTTCATCTGTCATACATATAGATATAAATGCTGTCATAGCAACAGCAATAAATTTACACCTACCTGTTATTGCAACTTCTTCAAGAACCTTCTCAGCCAAGGCACCACCAATTGCCAGTGGACGTAGATCAAGTAAAACCAGATGGTTATCAGATCCGCCTGACACAAGTGTGTAACCTCGGTTCAACAAGACCTTGGCCAGTGCTTGGCAGTTGTCCAAAATCTGTTGGGCGTATTCCTTAAACTCTGGTGTGTTGGCCTGCTTGAATGCTGTGCAAAGTGCGGCAATTTGATTGTTGTGTGGACCACCCTGAAGTCCAGGGAACAAGGCAAAGTCAATTTTGGGTCCATAGTCATATTTGATAGGGTCTCCATTTTTCTTGTACCCTTTAATTCCCTTGCGATAGAATATAACTCCAGAGCGTGGTCCTCGGAGTGACTTGTGAGTTGTTGTTGTGACAATATCTGCATGCTCAAATGGACCTGGGACTACATCACCAGCAACAAGACCACTGATGTGTGCCATGTCAGCCATGAGGTAAGCACCAACCTCATCACAGACCTGCCTGAATTTAGCATAGTCCAGATGGCGCGGATATGCACTAATTCCAGCAACGATCAGCTTGGGACGGAACAGTCTGGCTGTTTGAGCAAGCATTTCATAATCTATCAAGCCAGTTGCTGGGTCGGTCTTGTAAGGCATTGACTCGAAGTAGATGGAAGTTGCAGATATCCTCTTCTTCTCCGTCATGAAGCCATGTGTCAAATGCCCTCCATCAGGCAGATCAAGACCCATGATACGGTCATGAGGGTTAAGAAGCCCAGTATAGACTGCAAAGTTTGCTGGGGAGCCAGAATACGCCTGCACATTCACACCCCACTTCTCTGGGTCAAGCCTGAAATAAAACAATGTATAAAGCATGAAGTATTTTGTCTCTCTGCCAGAGGCAATATTTATAGATACATAGTATGCATTTTGCACCTGTATCACATACAACAAAATTGATTTCACATTGATGTGCAACTATTCAGTAATGATAACAGATAACATCAAAGGTGATAAAACCAAACACAGAATAGATTGTGCACAGCCAAGTAGGTCATGCATGCTCTCACCACATTTTAATGCCTTCTGTGATCTACTTGCTTTATTCAATAAAGGAGCTAGATGGTGGCTATGCATCTGTCCTCCAAAAGATCATAGGTGAGAACGAGCAAAATACGTTCACAATTAAGCTTATTACATGAAGGTGCCTAAAGCATAAACTTACATCTTCATAAGGGGATTTAATAGAATGCAACAAAAAATGCAGATTGCACTGCTCAGGGAGGGTACAACCACTACAATCTTCCCCTTACGGACGCTAACTTTTTACCCTTTAATTCCCGAGTGTTTAAAATGTAACTTCTCCCCACAATATCCGTGTATTATCCAGCAAACTGGTAATGAGAATGCTCATACTAATCGCGTAGAATTTGTAATCTTGATCTCACACCAAATTCTTGCAACTAATTTACAAGGAAATGTATAGCAGCTTGAAAAGAGAATTAACAAACATCTTGAGAGTTAAAGGGTTAAGTAAATGAGAAAGGAACTTAAGTATTTTGTTAGACTTTTCATGCCAAGGTTAACAAAATCAATCACCAAATATTATCTATATCCATTGTATATCTTGTTAATGAAATAATTGAAAAATTAGAAGTAATATTTTATCAATTGGATGATAAATTTTAAAGGGATAATCAAAATTCTCAAACTTTTGAAAACTTGTTTTTAGGCTGATTACTCTGGCTGATTTTTCAGAACAAACTAATTAAAAAGTTGGAATTTGGTGAATTCAATGAATAAACGAATTTGAGGACACAAAACCTATTGGCACTTAAAGTGAATTGGTGTACAAATGTACCCTACGTACTTTAACCTCCTCCAGTAACATTTAAATTTTCGTAATCACAAATCCTCCAATCCGTTCCGACTTTTTAATGCCTTTCGAATAACTACAGTACCATTTGAACAAATTGTACGACCCCTTTCGCTACACACAGCCTCCATTGTTGAGACCAGCAGAAGGATTGCATAATTCTACTAATACGGGATCTTCCGAGTGTGATCATGCAAACTTACCGGACCTTTTCAGATCAAGAAAACATTTGCACAGCTTTTCCCTTCACTAATTCATTTTCAAAATATAATACGACTAGTTTAGGTGAAACTAAATAATCATAGAACACATTAGAAAGATCACACGTTTAACAATCAACTCACCGGAAGGCTTCGAGAGCTCTCTTCTTGCACAATGCTTCCATTTCATCCACAAACTGATTTCCTCCGTAATATCTCTGTCCAACTTGTCCCTCAGAATACTTGTTGGTCATACACGAACCGAGAGCTTCCATAACAGCCGTGCTGGTGAAATTTTCCGAAGCAATGAGCTCGAGACCGCGAACTTGTCGTTGCTTCTCTTTTTTCAAAATTTGGTAAATGTCAGGGTCGTTCTCTTCGAGGGATTCACGAAGGAAGTGGAAACCGTGTCCACTGACACCATTTACTGCCATGATTTAAAAATATTCGATCTGTGGTAGAGTTAAAGCGTTCAAAATTAGAACAAGAGTTCCTTTCGTGAAAATTGTGCACAAATAACAAAAAGATTTTTTCCACTCGGGAACACTTGAATTGGACAGAGTGTGCCGCGATTTCAAAGAAGAATTGAGAACTAATACTTCTTAAATTAATGAATTAGAACCTTACCTTATGCAAGGAGTTTCACCGTAGGTAACTAGATTGGAATATTCCGTGAAATGTAATAGTTTTATGGTGATCTCAAATGTGCGACGATCGGGCGAACGCGCCAAAAATTTACTTGGGAAATTCCATGTGGGTTTCACGTGAACATCTTTCGAGCCCAGACTCTCTGAGTATGTCACGCTACTCTGAAAATGCCTCTTCATAGAGATGGAAAAGAAAAATACAAGCATATTGTGACGAAATTTAATCGTAGAAGGTGGAATAATTGGCAATTAAAACGATAAAAAATATATATTTTACACATGACTTCAGAGAGGCCCTGGAAATTTTGCCTTTGCGACCAAAAACCTTGTGGTCAGTGATTATCAAATTTTGCAACATCAACTAATTGTCACGCAATTGTTAATTATTCTTCCTAAATATTTCCCACAATTTAGCTCACAAGGAATGAACGCTACCAAATACAGACATATAAGTACTTAGATCCATTAAAGAATTAACTTGAATTGCCTCTGTTAGGGCTTTTCAAGAGCCCTGAGTCTCTTTTATTTTCGCTACGAAAAGCTTATGATCCGTCTAGAGGCTTGATATCCACAGCCTCGGTCATCGAACTCAGTCGAGGGGTGGTGTTACGGATACTTAACACACTTCAGATTCGTGAAGTCAGGTTGCTCAATCTCCAAAAGCGGCGAATGAGAGAGGCTGATGACTCCCAAAAAAAAACAAGAGGCGTTACCTTAGAAAAAATATACGTTTCGTTTAACAATGAAAATTTGCTCTGTAGTTAGTTTGATACATGTGCTTCAAAAGAGGGAATCATAAGAGACACAGCGAAAGCAACAATATGCTAATCTGCGAGGCAAGTGGAGAGTTATTGTCTGTCCCACCCCAGCCTTTCCTCGAGACTTGTTAGGGACATTTGCGTGACAGCTAAAAACTGTGCAAGAGACTCGCATCGAAGTGACGACAGCAGTCTCCCAGACAACCATTCCTCAGGATGTCACGCAAGGTCACGCTTTGAAGACCCAAGCAACTCCAACGATCGTCCCCATCTCTTTTAAAAAGAGATGGAGACGATCGCTGAAGCTGATCGAAGGGAGCCAAGATTCTCACTTCGTATGTGTTGTGTTGAATTATCTCTACTTCTACACAGGATCAAATACTCCTATGGTCTTGTCACATGGTTCCAGAACTACCTAGGATCTCGTACACAACGAGTACGATTTGGACAGGACTTGTCATCAAGCCTCCCCATTAAGTATGGTGTCCCACAGGGATCCCTGCTGGGACCACTACTTTTCGTCATACACATCAATGACCTGCCAAGCTGTCTCAAAAACACGCACATCAGTATGTATGCTGATGATACAGTCATCTATTGCTCAGGTGCAAACCCAAAGGAGATAAAGAAGGCCCTACAAGAAGACCTAGAACGGGTTGTAACTTGAATGGAAATAAATCGACTGGTTCTGAACAAAGACAAAACAAAGGGAATGCTTTTCGGGACGAGACAAAGGCTGGAAACCGTCGCAAACTTTAACGTCATCATAAGTGGTACCAATGTAGAGATGGTCAGTAAATTTACATACTTGGGCGTTACCCTCGATGAGGAACTGAAATGGAAAGCACACGCTGAAGATGTTCACAAGAAAGTATCCATGCGACTCGGTCTCCTCAGACGAATACGCTCCAGTCTCACTCTACAAGCAGCTCAAGCGGTATACAAATGCATTATTGAACCAATTTTCAGCTACGCAGACACAGCCTGGGGTGAACTACCCGAGAGCAGCATCACTAGTCTGCAACGATTACAAAATCGAGCCGCGAAAATCGTCACCTGTTAGAAAAGTACAAGGACAGCCCGAAATATTGTATATTGGTCAGATTTAGAAACACTGCGAAAGATACACAAATGTATTTTAGTATATAAATGTTTACGGAATCTCGTTCCTACATACTTAAAAAACTATTTTAAAGTTAACAGGGACGTACACAATTATAACACTAGGCAGAGGAGAAATATTCACCCCAATAAAACAACTCTTGTTCTTGGAGGGCGAACTTTTTAAAAATTCAGGACGTTTAGCCTTTAATTCACTGCCAAGCAAAATCAAAGAGGCAAGTTCTCTAGAAATTTTTAAACGCCTTTTTAAAGGACATTTTATCTGATTTTACCTCCTCTTTTAATCTTAGCAAATTTTATTCAACTTTGTAATTTTATTGGAAATGTGTTTATGTAAATTTTATAGAAACCAGGGCCCCCTAAGGATACCAGCCTCGCAGCTGACTGGGCCACCCTGGCTAAATAAAGTTGTCTTGTCTTGTTGCCATCAAAGAAGCTCTGGAGGTAAATGACGCTTATTCGATATAGCACACAGCGAAAGGGACGACGGGAAGATAACTGCAAAAGATTTAGCCTCCCTCTAAACTCTCCCTTAGCACTTCTCTTCTAAATACAATAGAATGGGAACGAACAAGCAGCTACACCGAAAGGTACCATACCTGTCCGATCGATGGCCATTTACTCAGGGGGCCCCCTGTTATTCACTCATTACCAGGCCCTCATTAGTCTCCTCTCGCAGCCGTTCTTTGTCTCGGGATTCCGGCTGCGAGATCGAGAGGAGACTAGGCCCTACTAACCCCTTGTAAAACTATCAGTTTTAACAAAAGGTAAACACCACAGCGTACACTATTGAGTTATGGATGTACGCGGGAAGTTGCTAAGCACGAAAGAAGCGTAAGAGTCGCTCGAGGCGATAGCCGAGAGCGACTCTAGCTTCTTGAGTGCTTAGCAAACCTCCCAAGTGCATCCATAACTCAATAGTGTACGCTGTGGTGTTTACCATTTGTTTTATAACATAACATTAACACATTGTAGCTAAAGAGTTCCCTTTTATTTAACAAATCTTACGTGACCAGAAAAAAACAAGCGCGCGCGGAAAAATCGTCTTTGCATTTGCTCAAGTCAGCAGCGTACACCTAGGGGCAAATGGGGGACGCTAAATTTACCAATCAGAGCGCGCGCTTTACTTTGGTTATGTTATAATGACCTCTAGTGTAACCTGTACAGTAAACAATACTCTCAGTAAACACCGATAAACGCTTCTCCCGATGGTGTTGGTAAAGATTACAGACAACTTGATCCAATTAATTCCTCAAAGTTCTCAAACCAATAAGGTGTTAATGTAATTTCCGGTTGTTTACAACGACGGGTTTTTGGATGTCAGCCTCATTGCATCACCACAGATTTCATATCCTGGAATAATGACTACTCCTTTCCAAGCGTCACTATAAATGTGATACTTAAGTGAAGAAGTCCTTGTTATAAAGTTAAAACCCCGTTTTGTTCATTGAGTCACTCGGTTACCATGACGACACCGATATCTATGTAAACAGTATTCTCTCTACACTCGGGGAAGATTTCATCGATGAGAAACAAGAGAATTACTCGCATTTTGCAGGTATCTCTACGATCAAACTAAATCGCTCGTCATTGATTAGTTTATCACTGTGATACAAATAGATCGTAACAGCTTCGGCAAGGTTACAAAAGCAATTAGGATTGAAAAGGGAGAGTGAGATTTTGGGCAGTAACAACTGGCAGGGCAAGGCTACCCAATTTTTCCCAAATCGCGTGTAAAGGTTCCAAAGGACAAATCATGACGGTCTCATGAGTCCAGTTACGACGAATTGTGTAATTCCAACATGACTTTTTCCTATGTAATACTCCCTGGATGAATATCACGAGACTGCTACTTGAAGCAAGCCCTGCGGGGTTGGTGGAGGAATAGAAATCTTAACACCAATAGAGTTAATATACACGGCAAGGAATGAAAACATATATTTACAAAAATGTCGATTTGTATTGGTTTCATTTCAATAATCTAAATTGGGTAGATCGGCTAAAAGACTACACTAACTACAATGAGTGCATTACAAAGCACTTACTGGGAGTTGGGGGGAGGGGGCATCATCTAATAAACTTCCTTCGATTAATATTGTAAAGTATTTGATGCAGTCTGGCTAAATTCCCCCAAAAGTGTTGTGATGCGCATTTGAATATTGTATAGAAAAGGCGCAATAGAAGTAATAAATGTTATATATATATTAAGTATCTCAAAGTCGATTTCTACAAAACAAAACAAAAATGTTTTGATTTTGATCTTTGGGGTAGTTTTTTTCAAGAAGACTTTCCTATTATGAATTTCTAAAGTAATGTCATTGTGCAAGCTCATTTTAGTTCTCCCTGAGATGAAGTCGACTTGTCAAACACATCAAGGTGGCACAACAGGGGTGTTCTCTGCACTCGGCCTGATATGTGGTCAGTGCATGCCCAACCAGGCAAACAAATTGCACTTATTCTAGACGTTGGTCTATGGACCTGCCATTTGCTGGCTTAAAGTTGAACATATTTTCACAATCGCACGCTCTGATCAATTCGAATAGGGTTGGGGTCGGGTACAGCTAATAAAAGTTACTGGGGCGACCTTTGTACCGTTTAGTCAAGATTCGAGCATCTTCCAAGATCGGCTTCATTTGCAATCCGGGTGCCAAAGTAAAATAAAAATTAAGCGATCGCCACCACTGAGGATCATTCTGGACCGTGGTATCGACATGTAAGCCCTTTACGGTATAATGTGGATGAGAAGTTTGGCCATTTGTCTTTAGCTCTGCCTAGTAGCGTTGCGTGACAGAGAGTTCTGCCAATGCACTAGAGCTGGGCCCATGCACAAAAAGATCGGCGATCTGGAAACCCCGAGGTCTGAGTATTTTAAAAAAAATTTTAGCCATTCTTCAACCAAAACCGGGTCCTTAACAATCCTCGATTTAGCTGTGTCAAGAGGATTGAAAGTTAAAAATGGAAGGACATTTATGTAATCAGGTCAACCCTCTTAGAGTTAAAGTCCGATGCCGTGTGTAAAACAGCAGCTTGGGCTAGACCTCGTGTAAATAACGGGCCCAAAAAAAGTTCGAGAATCCACTCCGATATCTTTCGGTACCAACCTCTCTCCCTGGCTATTCGAAAAATATCTTTGAACTTTGTTCTTTGGACATAAAACCGATCAAATTAAGCCTCTCTTACTAAATTGGTAAACAAAAACTCATTACCCATAA